TAAAGCAGTAAAAACGGTGAATATGGCCTTGCTCAGGAGAACTCAGCTCAGCAGTTGCAAATCTCAACAAGATGCTAAGTAGCAGGATTAAAATGCTTTTATGTATGTAAGTAGTAACATCCAATAATACACCCAGCAGTAGCACTTGCTTATTATGTTGAGATCACATTTGTTGCTTTATCATGAAAAAAGAACTTAAGAAATGTGCTACATGGGCAGCCTTAATCAGAATATAAAACTATGGAAAGTGCAATCATTATGACTAATGTACAGCTGCCAGATATTGGGGCACTGTGACAAGAAAATGGAAGATGACTTCATTGAGTAGAACCACTGGCTCCTGTTTCCAAGCTAAACTGAATACAAACTGTATGTCTATGCTTAGTTTTTACATTTACTGTAGCACTAGAAATAAGTTGCTCCAGGTGCCATCTTGCTGCTCATTGTCCCCCACCTTCCTACCTGACTACAACCCAGGTATAGTTTACACTTTTGGTTGGTGAAAGTGGTATTTCTGCTAAACCTTAACCACAATAATGTTATGCATAGGGTTACGTTTTTTTTTAGCAGTGTGTGAATAGGAATAGACTCAAAATAGGAAAAGACTCAAACACAAAGCAATAGAATATGCATGTATTCAATGAGTTCCATATGAGAATAAAACATATAAGGTGGATTCACACTTTTCCAGTGCGGTATGCTAATGCATGTGCTTCAACATCCGTTTTTTTAGTGCAATATCATGCATTGAATTAGGGCAGTCCTTTCCAATGAATGGGCTTGTAACGCACTAATAAAGTCCAAAAAACTATTGTAGCTATGCAGTGCACCATAATGCATGTTAAAGCACTGCTGTGGAGAAGCACTGCAACACGTGAGTGTATGAGCTGTGTTGCCATAGTGGGGTCCCTTTCAACATGAATGACACACAGGACGTGATGCACTGTAGTGGAAAAGTTTGAATTCAGCCTTAATGTCATATTTATAAAGCGGTCAATGTGACATTCATGAGACATTGAAAAAAAAACTCCTGCACTCAATGGAACACCTATTAATAAGCAGCACACACTCGCCTCAACCACAAGGAAAGAACATAAAAATACAAAAAATAGTGCAGCGCTAACAACCTATACTAAAATACAAATGAGATAAATGGAAATATCACATATAGAATGCACAATAAATATTCAGTGTTAGGTGCTCATAAAATGAATACTATGTGCAGCAGTCCATAAATGCCAATGATGGTGAAAAATCACAGCAAAACTCTGTGAGGTGATCACAGTGCCACTCAGTGTGCTGTCAATCCACAGATGGCCAAGATGGCCCCTCACCTCCTTGATGCGACCCACTGGGCCAAACAGCTATGTAGGTGACCTTATACACCCAATAAGGTATCATCAAAGGATGGAACGTATGGATAGATCCCTCCAATATCTTCTCCTATCTCCTAGATACTCGATTCCACAAAACCGTTTAAGATACCATTAAAAACAAAGAAGATCCTCCATAGTGTAATCCAGTTTTAATAATAACATGAATATAAATAAAATGCCCACTCACATGTAAAATGACAAAGATCAGCTTTTTCCCATATCATGGGTGTGTTCTCATGCTAAGAAATGCATGCCAATGTCATGAGACATTCACTGCAGGTAAATCACTCTAATTTTAAACAGATGCACCAGGAAGACTTATCTGCAGTAAACATTTTGCTGAATGTCACATTCACTATGTTAAAAATGTACCCCTATATTGTGGTTGAACAGACGAGGAGACGTGTCGTCTATTTCTGCCTTCAGTGTGTACTTCAGCCTACTGTAACAACACTTGCAACTGATAAAGAATCCTACTTGTATACTGCATGACAACTGCATGAAAGGATAACATAGTGCATGATTGCTGCATGACTGCATAAAAACCCACCTCTTCAGGGAAGCCTACCCCGCCCCCTGCTAACTGCCGATCTCCTCCTCTCTTCCCACCACTCCATCCCCCACAGCTTTTTTCCTCCCGTACCACTATCCCCTCCCTCCTAGATTGTAAGCTCCAAGGAGCAGGGCCCTCTAACCCCTCGTGTATCTTACTATATTGTCATTGTACTGTCTCATGTAATGTCTCCCATTGTAATGTACGGCACTGAGCGAACTATTGGCGCTATATAAATACTGTATAATAATAATGACAAAGTACACTGTATAGGAGTATACTCATCTTAACGTACTTGACTGCTCCTCCAATTGGTTGACCATCATCTCATCTCATATTGTAAAGCATTAAAATGGTAGTAAAAGCTAACACTAACTATTCTTAAAAACGTCCCACATGTGTGTGATTTCCCTAAAATGAAAAATTCCCTTTTAAAATACAGATGTCAAGACAGTAATAAGTTTGATATTGCTCACCCCCTTATGAAAATGTTAGTTGCCTGTCTCTGTGAGGAAGGATCATGTAGCAATTGGAGTCAAAACCCCTAATCTGCATACTTGTGGGTCAGAGTTTTAGAAGTACTGGAGGTAGAGGGTCATCGCGGTATACTTGTTGGGGGTCAGAGTTTCAGAAAGCACTGAAGCTAGAGGGTCATCTTGGCAGCCAGGAACCAGCATTTTAAGAAGACGTAAGTAATTGCAGCCCCTATATTTCTTTCATGTTAGGTTTCCTTTAAAGGGTTATTTCACCAGAAGCAATATATCAAGTGGAGTTTGATGGTCTGAGTCACCTGCCACCTACTAATATGTTTTAAGGGACTCCAAAAGTGACATCTCACCACCATAGTTCCTTGCTCTGTTCTCACAGTCTCACTGGGATGTCTATGCATGCTCCCACTATGCTTTGTTGACTTATCCATAACATAAAAGAAAGTAAGTGACATGTATACTTTGTCCTGATGGAGATATTTCCTTGCAGACACAACAGAAAATTAGAGGAAATTTGTACAAGATGATGGAATTAACCTTTTTAGACAGTTGTCACAGGAACAGGCATTGTCATTTGAAGATTTTCACTTACTTTCTTGTCTGGCGACATCTGTAAAATGTTTGATTTCCCATCTCTTTCTATCTTGGTGACAATGGTCAGCAGGACAAATAGAGAGAGTGTATCCCCCACTGGCGACATAGACTGCAGTATTTATCTGAGGAGAGTGGGAAAAATAGTGCTGGACCTGTAAGGTTATCTTATTGGCATTGCTATCTTAAGGTATTGATGTTAATGTAAATAATCTGGCTCCCACTCAGGAGGCTTTTACACCCCTAGGAATCTTTGTGGTTTCTTTGGCGCGTGGTGTGATGTAACAAAAATGGAAATCAAAGTGCCATGCAACTGTTAAGAGGTCCAGATACAGCTTTATTCTAATAAAAGTCAGGGGGACAATCCAAAGAGTAGTCAACACCCTGATGAACAGACTTTTTTGGACCCACAAAACATCTTGGCTACTCTGTGGATTGTCCCCCTGACTTTTATTGGAATGAAGTTGTATCTGGACCTCTGTGGTGCGGCACTGCAGTTTCTATTTTTGTGGTCACATTACACAGTAATTATCTGACAGGCGATAATTTTGGCTATAGGTATGCTTTAATTATCCAACCTTGGAGGTTGGACACTTTTTAATTTCCATGGCAGTTATGCAAACTTGAGAACAATGCTTAGATATCTTTTGAATGGAATATCTGAAAGACATACAAAACATATACATAATTTATTTGCCATAAACTGAAATACAGTATCATTAAGAACATGTTGTTTCTGATTTTATTCTGTGTGTAGACATTTGTTTTATATACAGTGCCTTGAAAAAGTATTCATACCCCTTGAAATTTTCCACATTTTGTCATGTTACAACCAAAAACGTAAATGTATTTTATTGGGATTTTATGCGATAGACCAACACAAAGTGGCACATAATTGTGAAGTGGAAGAAAAATGATAAATGGTTTGCATATCTGAAAAGTGTAGCATGCATTTGTATTCAGCCCCACTTACTCTGATCTATCTATCTATCTATCTATCTATCTATCTATCTATCTATCTATCTATCTATCTATCTATCTATCTATCTATCCATTCAGTCGTATCCGACCCTTGGCGATTGCATGTACCGTCATTCGTATGCAACTTTTTCCATGAATTCTCTTAGCAATTATTTTACAGGGTAGGTTGCCAGGTCTTACCCTAAACTTTTACTTTATTCTGATACCCCTAACTAAAATCTAGTGGAACCAATTGCCTTCAGAAGTCATCTAATTAGTAAATGGAGTCCAACTATGGAGTCCAGCTGTTGTTTGAAACCCTCAGAGGTTTGTTAGAGAACATTAATGAACAAACAGCATCATGAAGGCCAAGAAACACACCAGACAGGTCAGGGATAAAGTTGTGGAGAAGTTTAAAGCAGGTTTAGGGTATAAAAAAATATCTCCAGCTTTGAACATCTTGTGGAACACTATTCAATCCATCATCTGAAAATGGAAAGAGTATAGCATAACTGCAAACCTACTAAAACATGGCCATCCACCTAAACTGAGAGGCAGACAGGGAGAGCATTAACCACCCGCCTACAGAGGGCACTTATACCCCCTTCCTGCCCATGCCAATTTCCAGCTTTCAGCGCTGTTGCACTTTGAATGACAATTGCACGGTCATGCAACACTGTACCCATATGACTTTATTATCATTTTTTGTGACAGAGCTTTATTTTGATGGTATTTAATCACCTCTGGGTTTTTTATTTTTTCTTAAACATACCAAAAACCACTGAAAATTTTGAAAATTTTTTTTTGTAAATAAGTGATTTTTTCTCCTTCGCTGATGTGCGCTAATGAGGCTGCAGTGATGGGCACTGATAGGCTGCACTGATGGACACTGATAGGTGGCACTGATGAGGAGGCACTGGTAGGTGGCACTGATGGGCATTGACAGGCATCACTGATGGGCACTGAAAGGCAACACTCATATATGGCACTGATAGGTGGCACTGATAGGCGGCACTGACTGGCACTGATGGCACTGACGGGCACTGTTAGGTGGCACTGATTGGCACTGTTAGGCGGCACTGATAGGCAGCACTGACGGGCACTGATAGGCGGCACTGATGCACACTGATAGGCGGCACTGACTGGCAGCACTGATAGGTGGCACTGACTGGCACTGATGGGTGACACTGAAAGGCAGCTCAGATGGGCACTGATATGTGGCATTGATGTGCACTGGTAGGCACTGATATGTGGCATTGATGTGGCACTGATGGGCACTGGCACGATGCACTGATGAGCACCGACAGCTGGCACTGATAGACACTGACAGGTGGCCACTGCTGGAGCTACACTGATCATCATGGCACACTGATCAAGTGCCCTGATGATCAGTGTACATGTCCCCTCCGAGGGATGCCGATTACTGGCTCTGCTCTCCTCTCGAGCTGTCAGCATGACAGCTTGTGAGGAGAGAAATGCCAATAACTGGCATTTCCCTGTTTACATGTCATCAGCTGTGATTGGACACAGCTGATCACATGACCGAGCCAACATCTTCGGCTGTTTCCATAGATTAGTGATCCACTGTGTCCGAGGGACACAGCGCTCTGCCGATCGTTGTGCTGCACGCTCCCTAAGCCGTGCATGCGCGGTTAGAATGGGAGGATGTCATATGACGTCCTCCCAGAACGAGAGAACCACCTTGTGCCTGTCATTGGACTATATGGCGGGTGGGAGGTGATTAATTAGAGAAGTAGCCAAGAGGCCTATGGTAACTCTGGAGAAACTGCAGAGATCCACAGCTCAGGTGGGAGAATTTGTCCCCAGTACAGCTATTAGTCATGCACTCCACAAATCTGCCTTTGTGGAAGAGCGGCAAGAAGAAAGCCATTGTTGAAAGAAAGCCATAAGAGGTCCCATTTGCATCTTGCGAGTAGCCATGTGTGGGGACACAGCAAACATGTGGAACAAGGTACTCTAGTTAGATGAGACCAAAATGGAACTTTTTGACCTAAAATCAAAACGCTATTTGTGGCGGAAAACTAACACTGCACATCACCCTGAACACATCATCCCCACCGTGAAGCATGGTGGTGGCAGCATCATGTTGTGGGGATGCTTTTCTTTAGCAGGGACAGGAAAGCTGGTCAGAGTTCATGGGAAGATGGGTGGAGCCAAATACAGAACAATCGTAGAAAAAAACCTATTAGAGTCTTCAAAAGACTTGTAACTGGGGAGAAGGTCCACCTTCCAGCAAGACAACGACCCTACACATACAGCCAGAGATACAGTTGAATGGCTAAGATCAAAGCATATTCATGTGTTTGAATGGCCCAGTCAAAGTCCAGACCTAATTGAGAATCTGTGGCAAGACTTGAAAATTGCTGTTCACAGATGCTCTCCATACAATCTGATAGAGCTTGAGCTATTTTGCAAGGAAGAATGGGCAAACATTTCACTCTCTAGCTGGTAGAGACATAGCCAAAAAGACTTGCAGCTGTAATTACAGCAAAAGCTGGTTCTACAAAGTATTGACTAAGGGGGACTGAATACAAATTCACGCCACACTTTTCAGATATTTATTTGTAAAGAATTTTGAAAACCATTTATTATTTTCCTTCCACTTCACAGTTATATGCCACTTTGTGTTGGTTTATCACATAAAATCTCAATAAAAAACATTTACATTTTTGGTTGTATAATGACAAAATGTGGAAACTTTCAAGGGGTAGGAATACTTTTCAAGGCACTATATATATATATATATATATATATATAATATATATATATGTGTGTGTTTGTGTATAAATACAGTATATATACTCTATATACTCTACTTCTGTTAACATTCGTGACTTACCACAAATCTCTAAATCAATGACGCAGCTGCCATTCGATTGCCTCTTAAGTAGATAATTTACCACTGGAATTCTCTACTAGCTGAAATTACCTAAGTGCAGAATTGATATAAGTATGAGCAAGTTTAAATACTTAAGGATCGTGAGGATTTCAGCATGTCTAATTTGTATAGTGACCTAAATTTCTAAATGAATGCCAGAGAGACTGAAAAGCCCTGTGGCTGAAGGAAGAATCTGCTTGATGCTGGAAAGAGGCTTAGCAAACTTGGGAGTATTTGTGTAAAAGAAAAAATGCAATTGGTTTCTACGCTGAAAAAAAAAACATAGCTTGTTAGAAAAAAAATAGGGACCTTTTAACCATATAGTATACAGTTTGTTTCATAGAGATTTCTTGGTCCTTGTGATTTAAGATATAATGGGATTTCCACTATGGTACCAATTGTCTCTTACCCAGTCTCTCTAATTTTTCTTTTTGACCAAAATTCATTTATCCTGTTGTACCAGCTGGAGTGCTCTGTGAAGGTAGTGGTGTTGATGTGTCACACTGTTTACTTTTTCATTTTAATGTCCTACTTTTTTAGTGTGCACTACTGCAGTGCAGTGGCATGAACTGAAACAATAGGACTAAAGGCAAATTGCCAGCACAACCCATGCATATGGTGTAAACAGGTCCCTTAATAATAAGTATATTATAAGTTTAGCCAGATGTAACCCAAGCTGATGCAGAAAGAGAACATAGGAGCTCCAAGCAAATACAGAGAAACAGTATACAAACTCCAGGCAGATACAGAAAGAGAGCATTTTTCCAAGCAGATAGTGTCCTGGGAGACTAATATGAACCCTAATGTTGTAATGCAAGAGCCTTAACCACTCAGCTGCCCACCCTTTTTTCTTTGAAGAACATGTGTACACACTTGGCCATTTCTAGGGTCAGACTAGCCAGGCAGCAGCCAGGGGCACTGTTTGGACCAAGGGTGGCAGGATCAGAGTTAAAAGAAGTCTACATACTGTAACATTGGTGGTTTAGTGTTAATAGCCTGCTTGTGTTGTCCTCATTCAGACCTCAGACACTGTAGTAACTTAAAAATTAAAGGAAGTTGTCAGCGTCTCCTTTCGAGTTTAGACAATTTCCAGTGCCAGGCACTTACATTCACTGAAAGTGGTTGAAAACCCTTATATATACCCAGTGCAGTGAATAGCATCAGGTGGTACAGAGATGAAACAAATTCTCCTACATAATGCCCCTTTCACACGGGCATCATCAGTTAAGCTAGTACATTAAAATCCGATTCCATTCACATCAGTTCACATCCATTGTTTCATCCATCTTTCATTCCATTAAGTACTTGCCCTCCTGAGGATTTACTCCCCTTCCTGACCAGGCCATTTTTTTTTGCGTTACAGCACTGCTTTAGTTTAACTGACAACTGCACGGTCATGCAACACTGCACCCAAATTAAACTTACGTCCTTTTTTTCCCCACAAATTAAGCTTTCTTTCGGTGGTATTTGTCTCTGCATTTTTTATATTTTGCACTATAAAAAAAGACCAACAATTATGAGAAAAAGACACTATTTTTTACTTTTTGCTATTAAACATGTCCAATAAAAAAATGTTGAAAATAAAATTTCATCATAAATTTAGGCCAAAATGTATTCTGCTACATGTCTTTGCTAAACAAAATCCCAATACATGTACATTAATTGGTTTGCATGAAAGTTACAGCATTTACAAATGGTGGTGTATATATACTGGATTTCTTTTTCTTCATTTTTGCTAGTATTGGTGGTGATCAGCAACTTATAGTGGGACTACGGGAATGTGGCGGACATTCTGACACTGGGGGGGAACTGACTTGGTGTCACTGACATCCCCAGTGACACCAGTACAGTGATCAGTGCTAAAAAAAAGTACTGACACTATACTAATGTCAATGGGCAGGAAGTGGTTAACATGAGGGGTGATCAAAGGGTTAACTGTGTGCTGGGAGTGTTTTACTGGGGAAGGGATGTGTGATTCACTGTGTGATTCACTGTGTGCTCGAGCTGACAGGGAGGAGGACTGTTAGTAAACAAAACAGTCCTCCTCCCTGTCGGAGATCCTTGGAAATCACCGGGCGCCGGCGAGTAATAACTGGCCAGGGCCCTGTGATTGACAACCATGGCCGAGAATGGCGTCACAGGTAGGGTGCAAGTGTGGCTCCCACGTGCCCCCTATCCGGAAATGCAAAATCACGTATATATGCACACCGCTAACGCCCTGTAGCAGTCGGTCGGCAAGCGGTTAATATCCGTTTTATAACCAATGCATTCATCAACATTCGTTTACATCCGTCAGTGCATCTGTTTACATCTGTTTTTGCATCAGTTTACGTCTGTTTTCTTCAGTCTTGGTGACAATACCCAGGAAGCATTGCTTCTACCATTCTGCTTTTAATGAGTGACTCATTGTGTTTCACTTATTCCTTGCTGTGTCCTTGTTGTGTGTTAGATAGTTTGTGCTTCAATTTAGTGATGGATTCACACAATTTTTGGGACAGCATGACATTGTTTCTCATATTTGGATATATGCGGAGACAGGAGAGCATGAAAAGGAAGATTGTGGCTAGGAGATATTGTACATATTGGACCCATTTTATGCTGCTAAAGTGGCCTTCTGAAGGTTTCTTGGCACTACACTATGCTCATCTCTGACAGTACCCTACAAAGTTATTCAACTTCACCAGGATGACCGTAACCACATTCGACAACTGCATGCTTTTTTTTTTTTTTAATTTTTTTTTTTATATATTATTTTTTTTATTAATTTTAATTATTTTTTTTTTTTTTTTTTTTTTTTTTATTAAATTTTATTAATTATTATATTTTTTTTTTTTTTTAAATTTTTTATTTTTATTTTTTTATTTGTTATAGCTGCAGTGCATACATATATAAAATCAAACACCAGGACAGACCCCTATTACTAGTCATCAAACACCTATAAATAAATTAAAATCAATAAACAAATAACATGAAGTTCATGGTCACCAAGGTATTACTTCCTCCATAGGAAGCCGAGAGATAAACATACTGTATGCTCAGCATCCAAATTGGTATTCAATCAAAAGTCTTTAAACCCATTCTGTAGAGATTCATATTGCAAGTCTTTCATTCTTCCAGGGTTTTCACCATGAATATTTAAGTGCTCAATTCTTATATCACCAAGATGATGTGCTCCTCTTCCTTTTTTCAAAAAGTATTACCCCTCAAAAAAAAAAAATATAAACAGCACATTATTTCTTTAAATGCAGTAAATCAAAATGTATTACACTCACATAAAAGTGCTCTAATAGTGCCAAAATTTCATCATGTGTCACCACTCTTAATCTTTAATTCCTACTCTTACCCTTTAATCAAACTTCTTTGCCTTGAAAAGGAAGATAAATCTAATAGATTTCTCCTTAATTGTTTTATCTTCATACGTGATAAATACATCATATGGTGTATTATTTACAATACCAGATACCAATTGTGCCAGTGTGTGCACCGCCAATCAGTGCACAATACTAAGGTGACCCACCACCTCATGACTCATGCACCTTTCCAGATATTTTAAAATATGGATGCCGCTGAACTTCCAGTTAGCGTCTGACATCACTTTCTGACGTGTTTTGTCATTACGACTTTGTCAAAAGATGTAC